AACAGCCTCCTCCTCTCCCCGTGCAAGCCGAGCTCCTCTGGTCACCGCGACCCACCGAGAGCCAGCGGTGTGCGGGCAATGGGGCGCTCCCCAGGGAAGGGCTGCTGGCTCAGCCGTGTCCATCCACCCTGCAGGAGAACGTGCTGCAGAGGGTGCTGCAGCTGCCCGTGGTGAGCTCCACGTGCCAGACGCTGCAGCGCAAGTACAGCAGCACCAAGGAGTCGCACCCGCTGATGGCCTCGGTGTGCGAGGTGTACGAGCGCGGCGTGCAGGGCGCCGGCGCCCTGGCCATGTGGGGCATGGAGCCCGTGGTGCGCCGGCTGGAGCCGCAGTGTGAGTCCGTGTGCTGGGGGGGACGTGGCAGGGGGGCCCAGCAGAGCTTCGCCTGGTGGGGCAGCGCTGGCACAAGCACGTGCCTGGCACGGCCCAGGGGTTTTTCTTACCATGCTTTTGCCTGAGGCAGTCGCTGTGGCCAACAACCTGGCTTGCCGGGGTTTGGACCACCTAGAGGAGAAGATCCCTGCTCTCCAGTACCCTGTTGACAAGGTAAGTCACAGGCAGGACAATGTGGGACCCCCCAGCCCCTCTGAAAAGCCCACAGTACATCTCCTCTAGTCTTGTTTCTGGATGGTGACAGGCTGCTGGCTGGGAAACAAGGCAGTAGCTCCAAGTGAGGGCTCCTCCAAGGGTTTCTGCAGCCTAAACAATGGTTGGGGCTCCCAAATACAAGTCAGCAATGTCCTGTGTCCCATCCCTGCCAGCTACCTCCAGCCCAGGCTGGAGAGAGCTGTTATGCCCCTCTTGGAGCTGTTTACTGGCAGGGACATGGCTGGTGTCCCTGCGGTTCCTCTTGCTGTCCTATGCCACCCCAAGCACGCCAGCGGGGCTGTTCTCCATCTCTCTGCCCACAGCTCGCATCTGAACTGAAGGACACCATCTCCTGCCCCATCCAAAGTGCCAAAAGCACCATTGGCAGCTCCATGGATAAGATCATCGAGCTGGCAGCAGAGGGCTATGAGGCCACCAAGAGCACAGTGGAAACGACAGCCAAGTACACAAGAAAGAACTCAGTGACCCAGATGGCAGCTGCAGGGGTCGACACAGCCCTGGGAGGGCTGGAGAAGCTGATGGAATACTTGCTGCCAGAAGAGGATGAAGAAGCAGGTAGTCCTGACGCCCAAATCCCCTCTGAGGGAATCTGGTGATAACTGGCTGGGTGGCTCCTCAGTTGTGGGGTGCATGGGGCAGGAGGCAGCCCCTGGATTTTGGCATAAGGCTGCCTAGGAGGGTTGTCCCACCAGAATGTAACCTTCTCACCATTCTTCTGCCTGTACTCTTCCACCTTTAGATAAGAAGCCCAAAAAGAAACGTCTGTCAACACCAAAGGTGTCCCAGCAGCAGCCCAGCACTACCACCACTCCCAGTGCTGCTAGTGCTACCAGGGCTCCCAGTGCTCCCAGGGCATACAGCACAACCAGCACTCCCAGCACTCCCAGCGCTCCCAGCGCTCCCAGTGCTCCCAGCACCCTGGGCCGGATTGGCGCCTTGGTCAGCACCGTGTCCCACCGCGCTTACCAGCAAACCACCCAAAGCCTCCAGCGTGCCAAAACCAAAGGGCAGGAGCTGGCCTCCTGGATCCCCATCCTGGTGAGTGCCAGAACCCACCTGCTGCTCCCCCATATCCTCTTCTGAGCTGATTTTGCTTTCAGACAGGATATTTCAGGCTCCTTGGAGCAAATCTGAGCAGAGTTCACTTCTCTGCTCAGCAGGACAAGCTGGGGCTAGCAGTTCCTGCGTGATGTTCACACATAACCATGTACCACGTTAGTGGGACAAGCTATTTTTATCAGGTTCCCAGCATGTAATTGTTGATTTATGGCCTTGCCATAACATCCTTCCTAAAGCAAAAAGCCCCTGCAGAGACACAGAGGGGTCGAGGAGAAGGAGGTACTTTTCCTACCCTGTGCTGCAGTGGGAACAACTTCCCTGGCTTGTGCCAAAATCCCAGAGCTCCCATCTGCCCTCAGGATTTCTCCCGAGCTGCACAAATGAACTCCCTGTGTATCTCTAAAGAGGATGGAGTGGATGGGACCAGCCAGCTCCCTCTGAGTGGTGCCTTTTTGCTCCCCTCGCAGGGAAGCCTGGCCAAGCCGAGTGCCCCTGCGGCCCCTGCGGCCTGCAGTGACGGGCAGGGCAGCGCGGGCTGGCTCACCCGGCGGCACAGCAAGGCACCGGAGCAGAAGCAGGAGAAAGCAGGCAAGAAAGACACCAACCACACCAAGGTATGGAGAAAAGCAGAGCAGTGAGCTAGGAATGCTCCAAAGCATCCTCTTACCCAGGGACCACCAAGGCTGTCCCCCATACCTTTGGGGACCAGGCCCCTATCCCTGCTCAATCCTGAAATGCAGCTTGGAGGATGCAAGAGGGGGTTGGCAGTGGGGCAGCCCCAGGAGTCACCTTCCCTTTCCCCAAAGCTGGGAGCTGTGGGCAGCCTCTCTGCCTGGCAAAATCACCCTGGCTTGTATGTTCAAAACTCCTTTGGAGCTGTGGGACGTCAGCACTGAACTCCCTACTGAAGCTCTGAGCAACCCTGAAAAATCCCCAGCCATGGTCCCAGCAGGGAGGGGTGGTCTGAGCCGGTGGGGCTGGGAACAGTCCCCTGCATGGCTCCGCTGGGACCTGGGGACGGGAAGCAGCAGGTTGGGGTCAGTGCCCTTTGCCTCTGCCTGCAGCGGAAGCACAGCCTCGAGCAGAGGGTCCCCCGGGGCCCGGAGTGGGGGGAGCTGGCAGGGACAGGGAGAGACCCTGCTGCAAAGAGCTGCGGTGGCTTTTGCAGAGCAGCGAGCTGAAATCTCTCAGGCTTAGAGCTGGGGAAACCAGGGCCACCCCTGTCCTGCCTGGAGGTGGGGCAGCTCCAGGAGCTGATCTGGTTTCTCTGAGCAGGCGGGACAGGACCCCGGGCTCGTGGGCAGCGTGGCTCACAACCTGCAAACCGCCTGCGCCTCGGGCATCTCCAGCGTGAAGAAGGTCCCAGCCGTGGCCTGGGATGCGGCAGAGGGCTTGATCCTCTTCACACCCCGCAGGCTGTCCAGGGCCATGGAGACTGTGGATGCTCTCGGGGGGACCCTCGTCAGTGCCCCTAAGCATCTGCTGGGCACCCTATACAGCTATGTGCCGGTGAGTTTGCCCCCAGCCAGGCCCTGTCCAACTCCAGCAAACTCCATTTTGCTCAAACTCCTGCCATGAGCACCCCACAGCTGCAGGCAATGTCAGGGGGGACCAGAATGGGGAGATGGGGTGCCATGAAGACACCTCAGTCCCACCCTCCTCTTGAGCATCCCCAAAGCCATGACAGTGAGTCCCCCAATAGAACAAATGGATCAGACAGCGGTGACACCTTCACACAGTTCATGCCCAAGCCAAGGTGTGACAAGTTTCCTGGGAAGGTGAAAGTTCAGGCTGAGACCCTGTTTTCTCTCCTTTACCTCAGCCTGTTGTTCCCCTGGGAGCATTTCTCCACCACAGCTGCTCAAGGACAGCAAGCCACCCACTCCTCTCCACTCTGGGGGCAAACTGGCTTCTCCTGAGGTTCTCCCAGTTTGAGGGGGGCTGTGTAGCACAGATGGAGCAGGACTGGCAGGTGGATCCATCTGGCTGGGCGCTCACCACATCTCTCAGCTCCGCAGGCAGTCGGTGAAGGAAGAAGAAGCATCCGGAGGCACCAAGACCAACCCGGAGAAGAAAGAGAAGAAGGAGGAGGAGGAGGAGACCAAGACTGCTGCCCCCTCCACTGAGGAGAAATCCCAGCTGAGGAGTGACTGGCGGCTGTACCGTGGCCATCACCCCCTCTCCTTCCTGGGGCTCGAGGACCCGCTCTTCCTGCGGCACAGCTACTACCGCAGCCCTGCCTTCGACCCCGACTACCCGTTCCCGCGGAAATCCGCATTCTCCCCCTACAACAGGCGGGTGAGCGAGGGCTCCTACCGCTTCAGCCCCGAGTCCATGTACAGCCGCGCCTACTACGGCAACCTGTACACTCCTGTCTTCAAGAAGGACTGAGCCAGCAGGCGGGACAAGCACATCCCAGCCCCTCTCAAACCCCCTCAGCACGCTTTGCCTGGGCCCCTGCCAGCTTCCCACACACACCCCTGTTCCAGGACAGGAGCTTAAAGTGGTAGACAGGCCATGGGATAGCTTATTCTGGAGTCCATCAAGGCCAGGATGGGGAAATAAAAACAACCAAAAGCCCTGCTGCCAGAAGGAGAAGGCAGGGGAAGGTGGGACTAGGAAAGTGAAGGAGATGTGGAAAGAGCAGTGAGACCAGAAGAAGGGACCACCAGGGCTGGCACTAGGCTACCTTGGACCCTGCTCAGCAGACAGGGTGAACTTAGATGGGCTACACATTGAGAGAGAGAGGGGAGGATGGCAAAGCTGTCAAACACCATCACAGAGAGCCTACTTCCCCATCCTTCCTCCCTCCATCCCCCCTTGCAGGGCCCATCCCTAGGTACAGATTGATCCTCCATGGAGGTGCTGAAGATCCCCACCAATCAGCAGGATTCATGAATGGGAAAGCCCTGGGCACTTCTCTCCCAGCTGGTTGTGGGATGGATGGTGGGGTCAGGAAAAAGAACAGGTGGAGCTCCTGGAGCCCCTCTCCCACAGGATCACCTGGCTTCCCACAACACCTAGTTGTATCTACTGCAATAATAAACCTGCAATAATAAACCACCTGCCGCTCACCCCATCTGCTCAGCTTCTTTGTGGCAGTGAGACACCAAACCAAGGGAACATAGTGGGGTGAGACCCCCAACTCAGGACCAAGGGCGTGGGTGCAGGAAGCATCCTGTTACATTCCCTGTGGGTAGCTGCCACTGGGAGAGTGGGTGTTCATGCCCAGTACGTGTCTCTTCCCATGCCCCAAGTACAAACTCACAGCTCCAAGGAGCCGGGGCTTCCTGCCAAAGACAATTTATTGCATTTCCAGAAGAACACAGCAGAGAAATCAGTGTCCCTACAGCACGCACAAACCCTCTTCCAATACACTGCTTTCCCAGGGCACAAAGAGAAGGGTTTGGGAGAGGCAGGGAAAAGCCAGCCTCCCAGCAGCAGAGGGTTCAGCAAGGAGCCCAGCGACCCCTTTCCCCACCTCCTTTCCTCCCCGGGGACAGGCAGCCCTACAGAAGGAGTGGCTTGGGAAGGCGCGTGGTGCAATTCCCATCCTGGGAACGAGCCCCGCGCCTGGCTTTTCCCAGGCACAGCCTGTACAGCGCTCGCCCGCACAAGGGAAGCGGCTGTGATCGCTGAAAGGCTGTGGGGGAGAGGGCCGTGAGCACGGCTGTTCAAAAGCACGGCAGGGGGATGGGAGGCACCCCAGCCCTCACCAAGTCCCCCAGGATCGCCGGTGCCCTGGGCTCTGGGACACTCACACGGTGATACCCAGGTGGGAGTGCCTCCCCACGGAGAAAGCCCCACCTCTCCAGCTCATGGGTGCTCCAGGGTTACTGAAGAGGATCCTGATGAGGGTTAAACAGGAATAAGGATCCCAGAGTAGGAGTGGAGAGACAGGGAGTCGTGTGCTGTACAAGAGCAGGATATCCTCCCTAATTGCTGACAGCCTGGGTAGCTCCTGCTGCAGGAGCTGGGGATGCTGCTGCCTGGAGTTTTGGCAAAATCCCCCCGTGGTTTCCAGTGTTGGAGGATGTAAGGAGAAAGCAGGAGGCACCTAAAGAGCTGGTACAGCAAAGAGATGAGACTGTCCCATGGCAGAGCCAAGAGTAACCCACCACAGTCCTCAGCTGCACTGGCTGTGCATGGCAGGACACCCAGACCCTGGCACTAGGAGGACAGCAAGGAACCCGTCATACTTATGGAAAGACACACACCATCTCCATGGGCACCCAGTGAGGAGGCCTGGCCCAGCTGGGCAGCACAGAGAGCCACAACACCCGTGCAGAAGCTCAGAGGGAGTCTGTTCGCTTTCGGCCAAACACAGCCGACATGGTCTTGACGATGCCACGGATCCCTGTGCCCTTCTTCAGGGACAGCTTGGTGTCTGGGATGAGCTTGGCCAGTCCATGGAAGACCATGAGGGCCCCGTGATAAGCCTCAGCTGCAGAGACCTCATAGAAACCACAGTCTAAAGAGAGGGCCAGGAGCCGCCCCTCCTCGCTGGACACCACCCGTTGGTGGTGCAGGTCCCGTTTGTTGCCCACAATGACAATGGGCACCTTCTCCTGGCTCTGCCCCTCCTTGGCAGCCTTGATGAACTGGATTTTGAGGGGCAGGATGTTGAAGCTGGCACGGTCACAGATGCTGTAGACCAGGACGAAGCTGTCTGCCCACTGGATTCGCTTCTCCTCTGAGGAGCCATCCTCTGCCTGCTCCTGGGGAAAGAGAAAAGGAAGGGTTGTTTTATTGGGCTCCCTCCCTCCAGGCCTGCCTGATAGAAGAGGAAATCCTGAGCCTGTCGGAACAGGGACAGCTAGAGAACAACAAAAGGGCAGAGAGAAAGAGGAGTACCAAGCAGCACCTGGCAGAACTAAACAAGGGGGGATGATTCAGGCTTCAGCATCATAGCCTAATCCTAACCCTCACCCAGCTGCCAAGCACTGCAGGCTGTAGGTGATAACAGTGTGGGGACCTCAGAGCAGCACCTCTACCTCTTTAGCTCAGTCCTTTATGAACATCAGAGCTTCAGCTCCAGTGTTCCCAGCCAGAAGGCCATGGGCTACGGTAACTATTGCTACCCTGTCAGCAGCATTGCTGTCCTGTGCTTGGCAGGTGAGAAGAGTTCAGTGACTTATGAAACCTCCGATTTGAAAGAATTGCTCAGCTGGACCTCCCAGTCTGTGGTTCCCCATAGGTAACTTCCAGTAAAGGAGTTTTTTTGTCGCTGGGGTAGAAACGGGTGATAGGAGTGGAGCCCTCTCACCTGGGAACTGGGGACGTCCCAGATGTGTAAGAGAATCTCTCGGCCATCCACAGTCAGGTTGTGGCTGTAGATGAATTCTGTGCCCCCAAAAAGAAAAAAAAATAGTCATCTTCATGGTGTCACCAGCTCCCACCCAGGACCTTTTGCACCCCAGAGAAGCAGCTCTGGAGCAAAGAGATGTGTCACTGAACAAATACAACACTGAGCCCCTGAGAGCAGGCAAATGCTCTGGAGAAAGGCAGGAGAGGATGGGCTGCAATGAAATCCCACAGGCAGAAGCAGGGTTGTCTCTCGACCCCAGTCCCTGCTGGGAACTGGCCTGGCCCTGGCCTGGCACTCACCCATGTCTCCGTACTCTCCAATAAAGCGCCGGGTCAGGAAACGCACGGTCAGAGCTGCAGACGGAAGGACGGGAATCATCAGAATAACCCAAAACCTGGAGGATTCTCCTTTCTAAAACCAGAGCAGAGTGAGACACCATGGCCTTGTAAACTCCTACAAGCAGCAATGACCTCTGAGTTTCCCCAGCCACCAGCAGGTCTGTGAGTGCAGCAGAGGCACAGCACGAACCAAAGCATCTGCACGATCTGGAGCACCAGCAAACTGCAGCTCAGTGGAAAATACCTTCCCCTGTCATTCCCCGACTGGCTACAAGGTTGTGCTCAGCTTCCCCACCTTGAATCACAGCGGCACCCCAGGGCTCAGCCCCATCTCACCAATTTGCTCCCCGCCACTGGTTCTCTCCAAACACCGCTGCAGTTTTCAGCCTGCGAACCCCCTGTTCCAGTTCACGGTCAGTTCTCACCTGATTTCCCCACGTTGTCTGCTCCCATGACAAGGACGTTTGCTTCCATCTTCAGCGGGGCAGTGGGGCCAGGCACCTCCATGAGGGCAGGGTGGTCGGGGGTGAAGCTGGTGCTGCGGCGCAGCGGGAGCCGGAGCCCCATGCCGAGCGCGGCCGAGCCCCTCGCACGGTCCCAGCCGTGTGTACAACTCGGCTCGGCACAGCCGACTGCCCAGCGCTTCCCACGGCACCCGGGGGACCCACGAGGCCCATACCCCTCCCCGCAGCCGCAGGGGCGGTGCGGAGGGAACTGCAGGCAGCCGGATGAAAAACTTTGTCATCGCTCAGATTGTCCTGAACATACGTCAGCGGCTGAGCCGGCCCTGCCAGCCCCCAGCACGGCGGGCGGCCGGGAAGCACCAGCTGCCGGCACCAGCTGCTCCGCAAGCTGCATCCCAGGAGGTGCCCACGCCCCCACCTCAAAGCACTTTGTGCCTCGGCAGGGCCACGGAGCCCCTTGTCCCTTCCCAAGGGTGACCGTGGGAATGTCAGGCGGGGGTGGAGCAGTGTCACCGGTGCTGGGGTGTCTCGTCAGGGATGAAGCAGCCGATGAGAGACGTGAGTCCCCCGCCACTGACGGAGCCTCTCACGGCTGGGGGAACTCTGTTTCACCAGCGATGGAACACCTCGCGGGTAACGGAGCGCTGCCTCGCACGTGACGAAGCACCTCTCGAGGGACGGAATCCCCTGCGAGTGGGTGATGGAGCATCCCAAGAGTGATGGAGCATCCCAATAGTCATGGAGCTTCTCTGGAGCACCGGGGGGCCGCCGCGCAGCTCCCGCAGCCACGGGCGTCCCCCCGCTCCCCCCGGCCGCTCTCCGCGGGGTGCAGCGAGGACCGGCCGCATCCTCCCGGCCCTCCGCATCCTCCTCCCGGCCCTCCGCATCCTCCTCCTCCCGGCCCGCCGGGAGGAGCCGCTGACGCCATCGCGGCGCGCCCGGCGCGGCCATGGCGGCGGAGGCGGCGGTGGTGCGGGTGGCGGTGCGGGTGCGGCCGCTGCTGCCCCGGGAGGCGCTGCGGGGACACCGGCCCTGCCTGCGGAGCGATGCCGCCACCGGCGAGGTGGCGCTGGGTCGCCGCCGGTTCCGCTTCGCCGCCGTGCTGCCCGAGGCGGCGGGGCAGGCGGCCGTGTACCGGGCCTGCGTCCAGCCGCTGCTGCGCGCCTTCTTCCGCGGCTTCAACGCCACCGTCTTCGCCTACGGACAGACCGGCTCCGGCAAGACCTACACCATCGGGGAGGCCAGCGTCGGTGAGTCTCGCCGGGACTGGAGGCTCCTGCTCCGCCAGCATCCCTGCTCCGCCAGCATCCCTGCTTCTCCAACATCCCTGCTCTGCCAGCATCCCTGTTCCTCCAGCATCCCTTTCCTGCCACATCCCTGCTCCACCAGCATCCCTGCTCTGCCACATCCCTGCTTCTCCAGCATCCCTGTCCTGCCAGCATCCTTGCCCCACCAGCATCCCCACTACCTCCCTGCCCTCCCCACCAGCCTTCGCCACCTCCTTCCATCTCCTTCCATCCCCAGCCAAGCCCACCCACACCACCATTATCCCAGCCATCTTTCCCAGCCCACCAGCCTGGTGCTGCTGTCCACACCCATTTCAGCACCTTTGCTCTCTACCCAAACCCAACTGCATCATCATCGTCTCCATCACTTCCAATTTCACTCCCAAACAACGCTTCCACCTCGCCAGCCCCTCCAGATCCAGCCAACCTCTCCCCACCATCCCACCACCAGCAGTCTTTCCTTTCCCCCTACCTATGTTTCTGTAGCCACCCCCCCCCCAAAGGTGTGTCTCCACACCCTTAAGATCACAGTGTCTAGGTTTCTCCTCTTTCACTGCAGGACAAGTGACAGGACCTGGTCCTCCACCAGCTCTGGAGGTGATGGTGATAGTCCTAGGTCCTGAAATAAACCTGAAGGAGAGGGAGGTTTGCAAGTGTTAATCCTGTTAGTTTCTCTATATGAAGGAAATGAGGAAAGAGACAACTTTTTTCATTCTGGTTTAATGGCATTGTGATTTCTTACAGAGGATGTACTGTAAACATTTCAGTCATCTTTAGTTAATAGCATCATTTGTAAACATTAAATTGTTTCATAGTTTTAATGTACATCTGTTTTCAATCTCTCAGCTCAGGCTATCATTGCACCAAATTAGAGAATTGCCTTTTTACATGGCTGTTGGAGACAAAAGAAAAAACATTTGAAATTCAGACAGTGGAGTGCTGCGGCCAGATACAAGCAAGCTACAAGCACAAAAATAAATAAATAAATAAATAAAAGCTTCTCGCAGTTGGGAAAAGTTGTGGAGTCATGCTAGCTTCAAAGGACAGCACACTGCAGCTGCAGGCATGGTGTTGGATACTCACTGAAATGCTGAGGTGCTTTTTCCTTCTTGAGGAAGGACTGGAAACAAGCAGCTTTGCTGGAATCCAGCACAGCAGTGGGATAGGATTTGCCCAGAGCTCTTGTGGGATGTTTAACCCAGCCTGCTAGGGCTGAGCTGTGGGAGTTGTGAGGCTGCTCCTTTCCAGCTGATGTGTGTTGCAGGCAGGCTTCTGAGCTCAGCTCTGTCCCCAGCCAGCATGGGCTCCCTGGGTGCTCCATGAGTGTGTGCCTCTCTTTGCCAGCTTCCATCAATGAAGATGAGCAGGGCATCATCCCACGAGCCATGGCTGAGACCTTCAGGCTCATTGATGAGAATGACCTGATTGACTACACGGTCCGAGTGTCCTACCTGGAAGTGTACAAGGAGGAGTTTCGGGACTTGCTGCAGGTGGATACAGCCAGCAAAGACATCCAGATCCGGGAGGATGACAAGGGGAACATTGGTATGTGTGGCTGTGCACAGGCTCCTTTTCTCCCCATGTTGTAGGCCAGAGCTGGGTTGTCTGTCCACGAAGGCAGAGCCAGGTCTTCTTCCTCCATCCCTTTGTCTCCTGCAGCAGTTTGCTGTGCTTAATTTGGAAAGCTGATCTGGGCAAGGCCCAGTACAGGCAGGGTAACAGCACCAGGCTGTGCAGAGGAGCTGCATCCTCCGACAGCCCATCCCTCCCATCTGTGGGATCCACATTCTCTGAACCTGAGAGAAGCAGAGAAAAGAATGATCAAAACAATTCTTATCTCATTCGCTGCTCCTGTGTTGTGCCAAAGTAGAATGCAATGTGGAGATTGTTTACCCAGAGTGATGGGGTTTTGTTTCCTTGGCTTATCAGGGCCAAGTGTGTGTCCAGACTGTCAGTCAGGAGATAGTCACAAGATTTTGTTCAGTTGAGTTGAGTGCTTGTGCAGTTTCAGTTTAGATGTAGTGTAATATAGTGTAATGTAATATAGAATAATATAAAGTAATTAATTACCCTTCTGATATCAGTGGAGTCAGATGCATCATTCTTCCTTCGACGGGGGTCGCCTGCTTTTACAATGCCCAGCCACAGCTGCCTTTGCTTTGCAGTGCTCTGCGGGGTGAAGGAGTCAGAAGTGGAAGGGCTGGACGAGGTGCTGAGCCTGCTGGAGATGGGGAACACAGCCAAGCACACGGGAGCCACCCACATCAACAGGCAGTCGAGCCGCTCGCACACCATCTTCACGGTGACCATGGAGCAGCGGCGTGGCGCTGGCCGGCTGCCCCTGCACCACCACGCCCCCGCTGTGCCCGCCGCCGGACAGGTCCTGGTGTCCAAGTTTCATTTCGTAGACCTGGCAGGCTCAGAGCGAATTGTGAAGACGGGAAACACAGGGGAGAGGCTGAAGGAGAGTATCCAGATCAACTGCGGCCTCCTGGCCTTGGGCAATGTCATCAGTGCCTTGGGAGATCCTCGGAGAAAGACCACCCACATCCCATACAGAGACTCCAAAATCACCAGGTACCACTGGGAGCAGGACCCCCCACATCTCACGGGCTCAGCTTACAGGTCTGCCCTCTCTGCAGGTTCTCCTGTAGGGCATCTTAAGGAGCAATGAGGCCAGGATAGGAATGCAGGCCTAGCTCATTGCAGTGCTGGAGACAGTGAGGCTTGCATAACTCGTATTGCTAAAGCTAAGATGAGGTGTTGCTGTGGATTATCCTGCCCTTCCTGCCCATCAGGGAATAAAAAATACTCCCAGTAGACTTGTTTAATGGTCCACAGTTAGTTCTTAGCTTGAGCAGGCGGCCTTTGCAATCTCCAGCAGGGCCCCTGGCAGCACATACCTAGCAGTGATCACAGAGTCAGGGAGCTCCCAACTTCAGGAGTTATTTGGATAGAGACTTGCCATAGTGCAAACTGTTAATCCTCTGCTTAATGATTCCATTCACCTCACTGATGCCAAGCCAACTACAGAGCAAGGACATCATTTTCCTTGGGCTTAACCTCTGAAAAGGGTTGAAAACGTTCTGTTTCCTGTGTTATTTTGTATTTGCGCTATTTTAATCCCTGTGCTCTTCCTTAGGATCCTGAAAGACTCCCTGGGGGGGAATGCCCAGACCGTGATGATAGCCTGTGTCAGCCCCTCATCCTCTGACTTCGACGAGAGCCTCAACACGCTGAATTACGCCAACCGGGCTCAGAACATCCAGAACAGGGCGGTGGTGAACTGCCGCAAGGAGACGGAGCACATCGAGGAGCTGCACCTGCAGATAAAGAACCTGCAGAAGGCGCTGGAGCAGCGGCAGCGCTCCGAGACGCGCACCATCCACCGCTCGGGCAGCGCCAAGCGCGGCGCGCCCGACGCCACGGCCCGGCTGCTGGCCGAGTGCGCCCATTACCGCACCTGCACCGACGCCGCGTACCGGCTGCTCACGGAGCTCCAGGAGGACAGCAACCTGACCGTGGAGCAGATCCTGCGCGTCAAGGAGTGGCTGTGCGCCGTGGAGAGCGAGAGGAGCGAGCTGACCTCGGCCGGGCTGGACAGCGGCATTGAGAGCACCTCCATGGACGACCAGGGACCGGAGGCACAAGGTTCAAAAGGGGCGAAAGGCCAGGTAATGGTGGGGTGTTACAGCTCTGAGGTTGGGTTCATCTCCTGGCCACAGCAGCCCCAGCACAGCACAATGGAAGGGTCAGGAGAGGAGGGGGAGGAGAAGTAACCTGTCCAGGAGGCCCTAGGAAGGCAGAAGGATGTGGTTCTCACAGCAGGCAGGGAGAAATTAGATTCAGCTGCAACTGAGAGATTTATTGCATAGGAAGAATCTGGGTCTGCAGAGCTGTTGTGTCCTTGCAGAGATGGGAAGGCAAGGACAAATGCTGATGCTGTCTCTCTTTTACTTTGGGGAGCAGGTGAGCACTGAGAAGAAGTGTGAGTCCATCAAAGATGAGCAGGTGGCCAAGCTACAGAGGCAAGTGGAACGTCTGGAGGAGGAGAACCGTGATTTCCTGGCTGCCCTGGAGGATGCTATGGAACAGTATAAGCTGCAGGTATTTCTGGGCTCTGCTCTCTTTGTAGGGACCTGCCCCACTTCTCTCCTTCCTGCCCAGGGGTGCTCAGCCCAGCTTTCAGGTTCCTCTGCAGTGGGTCTCAGATCAACATGTATGTAACTACATTTTTCTCATTGCTTCCTAGAGTGACAAACTGCAGGAGCAGCAGGATAAAATCTCAGAGCTGCACGTGCGCTTGGAGATGGCAATGCCAAACCTGTGTGTGCCAGGACTGCTGGAAAATCTTCACCTGGTCACTGCCAGCCAGAGACCTCACACAGCCCCACTGGATGCTGCCCCGTCCCATGGCTTTGGTGGGGTTCCCTCGGGGCTGCTTCCTGAGCAGAGTGGAAGAGCTCTTTGCAAGAAGGTGAGAGCATAAGGCCGTGCCGTTTGAAGAACTGCTGCCTCTTCACTTGGCTGCTCTCCACTGCAGAAGAGCTTTTGCCCTGCTGTTTAATGTGATCCTTGTCAGAAGTGTAGTCCAGAGGACTGTGCTCAGTGTTCAAATCCAGAGTTTTACAACTCTGGCAAAAACAGCCCAGCTTCAAAACTGAGGCTGTTGCTTTCATGTCGTGGGTGAGTCCCAGAATTGTTCAGTATTTGAGCAGCAGAAGCACAGGCAGCTGGGTCTGGCAACACACTGGTTCTCCTGAAAATACACTCAATCCATTTTGTTGCTTTTATGTGTAGCAGTGATGCTCAGCTGGGAGCTGCTTTTTCTAACACTGGTTCTCACACAGCTTGTTTCCTCTCTTTCCCATTCCTCTCTTTCTGTGCCCAGAAGCTCAGCAGCAGCTCTTTGCAGAAGGAGGAGCTGGCAGGCTGGCACCCGAACCACGCACAGCACCCCACTGGTGATCCCGAGGTCAGAGAGGTGGTGCTGAGGAGGGAGCTCAGCCAGGACTCAGAGAAGCCATCAGAACTGTCCTCAGGAGAGGAGGTGGAGGAATGGGAACAGAAGCAGTCCCTGTCCCAGTGCCGGTGAGTTGGGCTGTCCCAACCAGCTGTCTCTGTGCCATGTCCCTGTCCCTGTGTGTGACCCTGGCACATACCACTGCAGCTCAGCTCTCATGTCTGATGCAGGGCAAATGCCTGTGGGGTCAGTGATGCTGCTGATACACCTTACTGCTCCCTGGGGAGCTCATTACCATCATTCCTGACCACAGCTATTGTTTCCATCTCCTTCTGGAGCCTGTGGATCATGAGGGTCCTTACTGAGAACAGCTTTAGCAGTGCCCAGACCAAACTGATTAATTTGATTCTCCTTCTAGAAATGGGATCCAAAATTTGAGCAAGAAAGAGATTTTCAAGTTGGGTGAGGAGCCAAGTGGAGGCAATGCCCACTCAATTCAGGAGGAGCAGCTGGAGCTGTCAAAAGGCAAGTAGCATCCGTAGGTTGTTGGACAATCTTCCATGGGCTGGTGGTGCTTCACTGGGAGATTTTGGTGTACCACCTGGATGTGCCCAGAGGACAAAAATGGAGCAAAAATGGAACCCAGCTGCTTTTGTTAGAGAGAAACTTGAACTCTTAGGGTCTGGCAAGGGTGTATGTTATGGCAGAAGCTTGAGGTGACTCTGGGCAATTCTGTGCCAGACTCCAGCTACAGATCCAAGATCAGATTGTCCTTCTGTCACCCATCTGCTAAGATAGGACTTTCCTGACTTGGGAATCTGTGTTCCAGAGGTCTATGAGAAGCGGGAGTCGCTGCTTGGTTCCTGGAAGCGCCTGCCAGGCAAGGACTCTGAGTGGAGGCTGGTGCAAGCACAGCAGAAGATCCGAGAGCTGGCAATCAACATCCGCATGAAGGAGGAGCTGATCACGGAGCTCGTTAAGACAGGTGCAGAGCTACTGGCAGGAATATGCACCCATTTCCCATGAAACCTCCTCCTAGTTGTGGTGCTTAGTCTCTTCTTCCATCCTCATCTTCTCGCCCTGTGTTGCTTGTGCTCAGTCTCTTCCCCTATAAGCAGCAGGGCCTTGTTTCTCCATCCCTCCAGCTGACAGAAACCCTTCCCACTGGTTTGTTCCTTCTCTGGAGTGGCTGAGGGAAAGGGAACATTCAGTCTCAGTAGCCAAAAATACTTGGGGAGAGGGAGGAAGGGTCAGGATCCTGGCTGTGAGAGAGGGGGCTGTGTTGCAGGCAAGGATGCCCAGGCTCTGAACAAGCAGTACAGCCAGAAGATCAGTGAGCTGGAGCAGGAAGCAGAGCAGGTGCGGGCAGAGCTGAGCGACAGCCAGAAGCAGCTCCAGGAGCTGGAGGGCAAAGAGCCGTGGGACCCTGGGGAGAAGCGCAAGCTGCAGGAGTACCGCACACGCCTGGCGGCCGTGCGGAGCAAGGCACAGGTGAGGGAAAAGGGCTCTGCCCACCCTGCTGCTGAGCAGGGGCAGAGCTGGGGGTATCTCTGCAGAGAGGGGAGATGCCGAGGCCAAGGGTGGTTTTCACCCCCTGGCAGGTTCTGTGCAGGAAGAAGCAGGCGACGGAGAGGCTGGTGTCGCTGTCGGCGCAGAGCGAGAAGCGCGTGCAGGAGCTGGAGAGGAACATCCAGCTGATGCGGCGGCAGCAGGGGCAGCTGCAGCGGCGGCTGCGCGAGGAGAGCGAGCAGAAACGGCGGCTGGAGACAGAGGTGAACAAGGGACAGCACCGAGTCAAGGTAGGAGAGGGCAGGAGCAGCTGTGCTGCTGTGGGGCTTGTGAGGATGACAGTGGGTGGGCTCTGATGTGGTTGTCTTGGAGAGCATGGAGACAGCTCTTTCCGAAGAGCTAGAGGAGAACATAACCCTCAGCCCCTGGCCATAGGGCAAACACATCCCACCCCTCCATGCTCACGGCTGCTCTTTCACATGCAGGAACTGGAGCTGAAGCACGAGCAGCACCAGAAAATCCTGCGCATCAAAACAGAGGAAATTGCGGCTTTCCAGAGGAAGCGGCGGAGTGGCAGCAATGGTTCTGTGATCAGCCTGGAGCAGCAGCAGGTACAGACAGCAAGCCTGCCTCTGCTTCCCTGTTCACAGGGGATGCTTGGCAGACTGCAGGCTGATGGGAGACATGAAAACAGGAACCTGAGCCCATCCGACCCTTGAGATGGACTGTCTGTAATGTCATTTGTATCTGGTAGCAGAGGACTTCAGATCTTTTCTTACCCCAGAAACAGGATCTCATTCAAATCCTAGCATTGGTAAAGAAGTTTTGAAGTTTTGTCTGTTAGCAGAAGGGTGGTGAGAGATGTGCCCTCCAAGAACTCCTTGACTGCTGGGAATTTAGTTTAGCTCTGCCTCTTGGAGGAGCTGGAAGGATAACACCGGCGAGGTCTGGGCTATGGGGCTTAGCAGAGATGGAATAAGGACCTTTGTTCTGATCTCAAACCTGCTGCTCTTTAGTCCAGCAGTCCTGGGCACTGCTGCTGCTGTCTGCACACACGCATGCCTTTTGCTTCTCCCTCCATCAGAAAATTGAGGAACAGAAGAAGTGGCTGGACATGGAGATGGATAAAGTTCTCGAGCAGCGCCAGGCCCTGGATGAGCTGGAAGATGAGCTGAGGAAGCGGGAAGCTATTGTGGCCAAAAAGGAAGCCCTGCTGCAGGAGAAGAATGGCCTGGAGAGCAAACGGCTGCGCTCCAGCCAGGTAAGACACCTCAGCCCTTTGCTTGATTTCCAGCAGAGGTGGAGCTGGAAGACCTGGGTGCCATCCTGGCTCTGGCTGCAGGCCAGGATGAGGTGGTGCTGGGAGGTGGGTAGGAAATCTTGTCTCTGTGAAAGAGTCTGAGCTTGTTGGTTTGGTGGCCCTTGGCTTATGTCTGTCTGGGGGGGTGGTCACTTGACCTAGAGAGGGAGTAGAACAGGGCTGAGGAGCAGATCCCCTTGAGCATGCTCTGCTGCAGGCCCTGACAGATGACATAGTGCGCGTGTCCAGCCGCCTGGAGCACCTGGAGAAGGAGCTGAGTGAGAAGAACGGGCAGCTGCGCCACGGCAGTGCCCACGACCAGCAGCAGATCCGCCAGGAGATCAACAGCCTGCGCCAGGAGAAGGACCAGCTGCTCAAACAGAGGCTGGAGCTCGACAACAAGCTGCGTCAGGGCACGCTGCTGTCCCCAGAGGTACCTCTGCTGGGGCTGGGGAGCAGGAGCTTGTAGGAGACAAGTAAAGACTGAGCATGAGGTTGTTGGCAGATTCTCCCCCACATCCCAAACTCTGCATGTCCCAGCTTCTCCCCAGCACCACTGGCATGGCAAGCAAGGCTAGGGCAGGGTGAGACAGAGCAAACCCTTTGCAGCCTGGTAACTACAGCTCTGCCCTGGCAGGAAGAACGGATCTTGTTCCAGCTGGATGAGGCAATTGAGGCTCTGGATGCAGCCATTGAGTACAAGAACGAGTCCATCACATGCAGGCAGCGAGTCCTGCGGGCCTCGGCCAGCCTGCTGTCACAGTGTGAGATGAACCTCATGGCCAAGCTCAGCTACCTCTCCTCCTCTGAGACACGAGCTCTGCTCTGCAAGTACTTTGACAAGGTGGGAGACAACTGCCCTCTGTGCTGGTGGGAGCTGTATTTCATTTACAGGCTGTTAGTGATTGCGTAATTAGCCAGCCAGAACACGTAATAAATATAACACAGCTTGAACACACTTGTTAACACAAATGATGACCTGACCACACTCCTGTTTTCCTCAGTTTCAAGCTTTCTCCTTGCATCATATTGTAGTTTTGTCCTGTAAAGCAAGGCCACAAAGCCACAGCACCGTGACCTCTACTGGGAGAAGGGCTTAACTAGCCATGGGATGCATGGATCCCTGCAGTGGCTCTGCCACATCAGTGCAGCCACACCTTGCTCTTCCCTCCACAAGGCAGCTCTGACATCCCAGCACTACTAACCTTTGTAAGCTGTACCAAAAAACTAACGTGACTGGGGCTCGGTGGGGCAGGAAATCTTCCCAGGCACGAAGGAGCTGAAGTGTTCCTTGCTCTTGGGCCCTGGCCAGGTGGTGACACTGCGAGAGGATCAGCACAGGCAGCACATTGCCTTCTCAGAGCTGGAGATGCAGCTGGAGGAGCAGCAGCAGCTGGTGTACTGGCTGGAGGCGGCCGTGGAGCGGCAGCGCCTGGAGATGGACCGCCAGCTCACCCTGCAGCAGAAGGAGCACGAGCAGAACATGCAGTTACTGCTGCAGCAGAGCCGTGGTAACCCCCAGCTCTCCAGATGGGCAGCAGTGCTACTGCTTTTGTCTTTCACAGGGCTCCCAGGCTGAAACAGCCTTGTTTTTGCTTGTAGAGCACATGGATGAGGGGCTGGCCAGCAGCAAGCTGCAGTATGAGGCGAGGATTCAAGTGCTGGAAAAGGAGCTGAGCCGTTACATGTGGGCAAACCAGGAGCTGAACCAGAGACTGAGTAACATGAACCTCCATCCTGGACAGAACAAAGGTGAGAGGAATCCCAGGCCAGGGCTTTGCTGTTCCTGCCGAGTTAAAAGGGAGGTTCAGTTCCCACACCTGGCAGTGAGAGCTTGGAGCAGTCCAGAGCAGTGCATGTATAGGTCCTTCAGCAACTGCTATACCAATTTTGATGAGGAAAGTAGAGATCCTGATACTCTCCTCACCGTACCCTCAATTTTTCCCTGCAGGGATGGAGAGAAACATTCATGGGGACAGAGCTGCCCCGGAGCTTGGCACCTGTGAGGAATTCAGCCTCAGGGAGCAGCAGCCCGTGCCTCCAGCTGAAGAGAGCCCTCGGGCCAGGGATGAGAGCAGGGACCTGGTGCACGCCCCTTTGCCCTCGACGTGGAGGCGTTCCTCGCTGCCCAGCGACAGCCCCGGCGAGCCTCGGCAGCGGGACGCGGAGCACAGAGCGGGGCAGCCCCACGAGCCGCTCGCCCCTCGGAGCCTGGCTGCTGCTCCCAAAGCCCGGCGGGAGCTGCGCAGAGCCAGCCTCAGCGTCAGCCCCGTGCCTTACCACCCTGCCATGATAGACGTGAGGAAAAACCCGCTCTAGAGCCAGGCTTAACGCTGGCTGGCACAGGTGTTGCTGACCTGAGCTTGAGAGCCCTCCTGCCTCACACGGCAGCCTGGCTGCAGCCCTGTTACATTTCAGAGGCCTGGGCAAGAGAAAGATGTGACTTCTTGTCGTGAGGGAGTCGAGTGTGAAAGGTGTGGGAGCACCAGCCTACGTTCTCCATGTTGCTGCCAGTCGAGGCAGCAGTGACAAGAAGCTTTTCCTCTGCTCCCTCAGCAGCTTGAACACTGTGAAGCAGGAGACACCTTGCTTCCAGGCCTCTTAACACTAAAAACTTGTTTACAATGTGGAATTCTCAGCTGAAGAGCTTGCTCAGCCCTGGCAGCCTCAGAGGGAAGTGCTCTGCAGTCCTGCAGAATTTGTACATACATTTTTGTAGTAACTTTGGGTTTTTTACATTTCTACTATAACTTTTCTAATAAAGCAGAGTGAGTTTTATGAAATGGTGACTTGTCAGAAGGGCCACTTACTCCAGGTGTGTAGGAAAGCAGTTGTATTTAAATCTCACTGCACGGGAAGACAGCTGCTGTCACACTTTTGGCCTGATGGTTAAATATGTTTTAAGTAGTCCCAGCCACATCCAGTAGGCCTCCTACATTAAATTGCCACAGGAAGAACACATCCAGCCAGCAGCAGAATTGTCTGAAATGTCCAGGATAAAAGGAACTCTGGTTGTTTTTTTCTTGCAGCCTCTAAGCTGCTTTAAGCAGGGTTTTCATATTCTTGAGAGAACTTCCAGTCTGGATTTAAGAGCGGCTAAATGCAATCCTGCAGCTTCACACTGACAGCTCAGGAAGGGGAACCAAGTTTAGCAGAGCAAGAAATGAAAGCCCAGATATCTGCTTTAAGAAGGGCAAGGGGCAGGGGCAAAGGGCTGCTTGACCACTTGATCCTAAAAATCAAGCCACTCCTTCAGCCTGAAATGAGAACAGCTACCACAACCACTACTTAAGGAGTAACACACCAAGTTAAAAGCCAGCATTTGATATAAGAACCATCTTCTGATCTCCTATATCCTTGGCCTTGCCTGTAGTGGTGTGACAGTGAGAGGGGGGATATTACTGAGGGCTGTATGTGGCTGAGCTACACAAGATTAAGTTCAGACACTTTATCTCCTGCTGTTGAAAACAAAGACCTTCAATAGGAAAAATAACAATCCATCCTCTTTGGAAGTAAGTAGTAGATTTGGAGCTCCAAGCTTGTGGCACTCAACATCCTTGAGGCAGGTGCAGCTCTCCCAGAAGCAAAACAATCACTGTAAAGCACAAATTCCATTCCTCTTCCCAGTGGGAAATTAACAGCTTTCCTGCAATAGTGTGTCCAGGAAACAAGCTTCACTCAATCCCATCTAGCCCCTCAAAGCCACCTACCAAACCTCTGGTTTCCCATGCCTTGTTTTAGGATCACCTTACATCATCTTCATAGCTCTCCACCTCCTGTGCAGTCAGTAGTGCACAGTGGTGTGAGTTCCCTGAGATCCTGCTATGCACAAACAGCTCACTATCCCAAGGGAAAAAAAAAATCAGCCCTTCCAATATTATGCACAATTTTAGCCTCTTGTAGGCTACATCTCAGGCACTGAACCACAGCTCCTGCTCTCTTCCACAAATGTGACCCAGGCAACTAAATTGCTATTTAATCCATGACTCAGTTTGGTAAAGAGTAGTCTTGAAACTGTCATTTCCAGTTATTCCATCCAAGTTTTACTTCTCAAGGACATTTCCCCAGCCAATTCTCTCTGGCTTACTGCAAGTTTGCAGAAAAGGACAATGAAGTCACTCCATCAGCATCTGCTTATCCAGCAGTAGCCAGGAGCGGATACACCAAACCATTCATGATATACAATGTTCCCAGTTAAATTATCTTTCCCCTTTTCTGTACTCTTGGCACTTGGCTAATTAATTAATCTGCTTGTTATTTTGCCACTAAGCTGTGGCAAACTGGAAGCAATTAACAGAGGGATGCATTTAGTATCAGGACAAGACACAGCAGGAGCACGCAGCTTGTTCTGTACCCATTCGCCCCCAGCATCCTTCCTGCAGCCCACAATCCCTCAAGCCAAATACAGATTTTGGATTAAAGGACACAATGAAAATTCAAATTAGTTTATTTTACAAGAGCTGTAGAAAAGTGACAATTCTCCCTCTTAACCTGGGAGAACTGAACCCTCACTGCAGAACTCACTCTAAGGTTCCACTAGCAAAAAGACCAAGCTAGGTTTTGAATGGATGGAAGAAACCATAAATTTTTGGAGTGGTCCTTATTTCTACTGCCATGTGCTTGCATCCAGTGTCCTACCAACACAAGGCAGCTCCAGTCTAGCACCAAATACCAGTCTTTGTTAAAAGGTGTGTTGTACAGCTGGGATAATACAAAGTTTCCCATGCTGGCCTGGCTCCAAACTTCAGCTGAGCAGCTTTTTCCGTGAATATGTCCTGCTAAGGCGAGGCCTCCTGGAAATCATGATGTGGAATGGAGACAGCTCCTGGTTGGCAGTAATTTGGACAGCATCAGATTCCTCTTCTACAAAAACAGAACAAATACATGAAAGCCACAGTTTACCAAAATTTACTGGTGATTCCAAGAAGCCAAATACCAAGTGGAGACAACAAGAACTGGGAGTTGCACTTCCCATGTAGCTACTCAGTCTTCATTCTTCAGCTACTCTCTTCTCCTTCCAAACTTCCCAGTTCATGCCAAGTTTCTTGTAAGCATGTGAGATCGAGACACTGAACAGATAGAGCAGTGGCAGAAACAGGTTTTCTGCCCAAATCCCAGCCCCCAGCACAGCATGACTTTGTTCTCATTAGCTGGAGGCAAGCAGAGAGCACAGGCAGTGTGCTCGAGCCCAGCCTTTCCTCTCCTGTGCTTACCTTGAACGCGCCTCCTCTGAGCCGGCGGTGGGGACAGCAGTGGAGACTGGGTCAGGGCTCGAAGGCTGCTGGCAGAAAGTCCACTCTTCAAGGGTGGAGTGGAGCCTGGAGAAGCACAGAGAGATGCTGCAGCAAAACTACTCAACAACTCAAATGTTAAGTCTCACACACAGCCTTTATGCTACCTCAAAACTGACATCAGTGTAAGTGATACTTTGAGTGTATCTGAAATAAACTCTAGGCTGTCACTGGTGTTTTAGCATTTGAGAAAGGTAAACGGCAGTCTGGAATCAGCTCTTAGCACATTAAGTTTTCTTAGCTGGTTTAGCAGAAAATCACTTTACTTGTCTTAAACACAGGTAATTCACATTTCCTGGAAGAAAACTGTTACAACCACAGTGATATAGAAATACAAACACAAGGTGTGTAGGTACATAAAGTCTCTTACAGGACCATCGTAAGTCTTACTATTTCATGTTCTGAATATGGATTAATGTTGCTTCAAGGTTTGGCCTTTTTTCTGTGATAATGTTGAGTAAGACACTGGCTCTGTATACAAATCTTTCCTTGCAAGAGAAAACACACCAAAGCTTAGTGCAATGACTACAGACCAACACCTGCCACAGCCCCCTGTAATTTCTACAACAATACTGGATTAAGTATTTGAAATTCCCAAGGCCTTGTTAACAGAGCTGAACATCCTGTTTCACCAAGGTCAGCTGAATTGTCTGTACCCACAGCAAAAGCAGAGAGGCAGCTTAAACCTATACACCTCCTGATACATTATTGCTAGCAAGGGAATAATTTCTGGTAGCACTTTCAAGGTGCCCACCACCACGGGCAGAGACAACTGGAGCAGCAATAAACACCAACATCCACAGGACTAACCCCCCCCAAGACTCCAGTCTGAAGCACTGAAACAGCCAAGCTTTATACTTGAGATTGTTGGCTTGTGTTGGCTTCAGAGCTGAATGCTGGGCAGAAACAGGCAGTGGCATCAACACAAACCTGAACAAATCACCAGCTGGATGCAACAGGGATCCTCTCTCCTCAAATTCTCACTTTCCTTTTAGTTCCTCCAGCTTTCTGCTCTTTCATATTTCTCTGATCTCTCTTCCATCGTCAATACTCCTCATATCCAGTCTGCCTCTCCACATAATTACCTTCCACGTCATCTACAAGTCACTCCCCTTTCACCTCACTCTCCCTCAGATAATTACACAGGAAACAATTGTGTTCTCATTTTAGTCTAACCCCCATTTTTAACCACATCTGAATTTCAGTGGAGTGTCTTTCATGCCATTTAATTACCTGACAAAAGGAAGACATCATCATCCCCTAGACAACTGTGCTGCTCCAGTGTTTTGAGGGCACATGCTCCTGGTTTCTCAGGAAGTACAGAGTCTGTCCTTGATTTAATTCTGCTGCCCTCATCTGTGGAAAAGCCAGTGAGATCCAAGCTGCCCCTATCAGGACACGATCTCTTGGCACTGTGGTTCTCCTCCTTTTCTGGTGACAGGTAAGTAAAGACCCGCTTCCGAGATTTCAAGCCAAAAGTTCCCATGGCAGAGTCCTCATCAGCCCTCGGTTCCGAGTCACTGGGAGATGCCTGATCCTGGAGCCTGCAAATCCCTTCCAGTTCAAATTCCCCAAGGGTATTTGTCACTTTGCTGCTGCAGTGTTCTGAGATCCTCATGGCTCTCTCTCTGCCTGCTGACGCCCGTGTCTGATCGTCGGCACTCCTCTCGCTCTGACCACAGCTCACACTAGCAGTGCTGCCTGCTGCTCTCTTCCTCCGAGGCCAGTCATTGATGGCATCAGGAGTAGTCTTCCCCTTCTGCTTTGGAGAAGGTGTCTGGAGAACTACTGCTTCCAATGGGAATGGGGAGGTGACAGCAGAGGCGCAGCTTGTTGGGGTGTATGACTGGCATATGTAGGTTTGTCCTGCACCTTTCCCAGGTGTACTATGGAAAGAACGGCAGCAGGATGGGGAAACACAGGCAGCTGCCAGTTTTCCTGGGTGCTTGCTGCACCAGGTCATAGCAAAATCACTGAAGGGACTTTCTCCTCCCCTGGGTTTGCTGGCACTTGCTTCAGGTTGAACTTCCAAGGACGAGCAAGAGCCAATTTTCTTAATGCGAAGCTTGGGCAGGCCTGAAGCTTGCATTTCGATTTCCACCTCGTAGGTCGGTGGGCTGGCAGAAGGAAGTCTGCCATGACTTTCAGGAGACGAGAACTTGGCAGCAAGCTGAGGCTCTCCCATGCGAGCCGCAGCCTCCCGCTGCCTCCTGTCTGCAGTGCAGCGTAAGGAATAGGCAGGAGGAGACTTCTGCACAGGGGGGGAAGCATTCAGGGCAAATCTGGAGCGTCTCTTGAGACTTGGAGTCTTCACTTCCATATATTCTTCCCTCAGCACAGTTCTCGCTTCCAAGTCATCACTAGCTGTTTGCAAATCGCTTAGGAAGGACTCACAGGTGTTTGCACTACAGTTCTCCTCCTTAACTGATGGCTCACAGTCTCTCTCAGCATTCTGTGCATGTTCCTGCCCTCCAGCAAAAGGCTTTGGAGAC